GCTCTAATCTTTCAGTTTCCACTATAGAGTGGGGACAGTCAGTATATATTAATGGAGACATACAATGTCTTTGTTTTACAGCCTGACTTGCTTCACTCATATTCTTCCATATTCACTCACTTTCTATGAAATGTCGGGGTCTTGCTGTTGTTTCTGACTGGTAGTATACCACTGTGTATATGTGTCACACTTTTTAAATCCATTTATCTGTTCATGACATTTGGGTTGGTTCAATGTTTTAGCAATTGTGAACAATACCACAATAAACATCGATGTGCAAGCACTTTTCCAGTTAAGCATTGTCTTATCCTGTGGGTAGATCCCCAGGAGTGGAATTGCTTGATTATATGTGTATCTTTATCCATAAGGTTTCTTTCTTGAATGGAGCATATAGGTAGCTCCCTCTTTATGCAATGTATTCAGTCAGTCTCTTTTTTTTTTGCTATAGGACACGTGCACTTACCAGACAGACAGAGAGAGACAGAGAGACAGAAAGTGAGAAATCACCCACCAGGGGGGATGGTCATGTTGCAATCCCTTCTCGTCCGTTCTCCTCTCGGGATCTTGGGCACGCATGCACAGGCTCCCGGTGTGAGTTTTAAGCCTCCGGGTCCAGGACGCAAACCATGGTCAACTATATGGGAGTCCAGCGACATAGCCATTATGCCAACTGCTGGTCACAGTCTCTCTTTTTTAAAGAATTCTTCAGTGTATTTATTCTTATTTTAAAATTTGCTATAAGGTACATGCACTTACCAGAGAGAAACAGAGTGAAAGACAGGGAAAATAAGAGAGCAAGCCACCAAGTCCAGGACTTGAACCATGGTCACCAATTCAAGAGTACAAAACTGTAACCACCATTCTGCCTGCTGGTTCCCACTCTGTCTTTTAATTGGATAATTTATTCCATTAGTATTCAATGTTATTAGAGATATTTATGGACTTATCCTTCCCATTTGTTAGTCATTTGCCTAGTGTTTGTGTTCTCTTATTTCTATTTCTCTCTCTTTTATAGTATGCCTTTCAGTAGTTCTTGAGTAAATTCATTCAGTTTTTATTTACCTGAGAATGATTTTATTTCTTCTTCCAGTTTTAAGGATAATATTGTTGTGTATTCTTGGTTGTAATTATTTTTCTTTTAACATTTTGAGTATGTCTTCCTTTTCTTTTTGCCTGAATTATTCCAGGTGATAGGGCTGATGTTAGCCTGATAAGATAATTTTCATAACTAACTTCATACTTCTCTCTTGTCATTTTCAGAATCTTTGGTGTGTTTGTTTGTTTGTTTTTAACTTGTCTGACTATGATGTGCTATGGAGAAGATCTTCTTATGATAATTATAGTTGGTGCTATTTGTTTTCCCTAAATAGTGTCTTTATTGTTTTAAACAATTCTTTGTTTATTTTATTTTTATGTATCATTATTACTACTTTTAATTTGCTACAGGGCACATGCATTCACTAGAGAGAGTCATACACACACACACACACACACACACACACACACAGAGAGAGAGCAAGAGAAAGAGAAATAGAAAGCATGCCCCCAGATCTGGGACTCAAACTTTGGTCAGTCATATAGGAATCCAGAACCTTAACCACCAACCACCTGCCTGGATCTGTATGTCTTAATGTTTCTCTAGGTTTGAAAAAGTTTGTTTGTTTGTTTGTTTTTATTGGAGAGGTTTTCTTTTATAGGGCATGTGCACTGGCCAGGGAGACAGAGAGACAGAAATTGAGAATTTATCCCCCTCCCCCAGAGGGGATGGCACCCTTCCACATGCCGGCATGAGTTTAAGCCACCAGGTCCAGGATTCAAACCTTGATCAACTACATGGGAGTCCAGTGGCATAACCATTACAACAACTGTTGATCCTAAGATTTGGAGAGTTTTAAGACAGTATTTCATGAAAGCAGTTTTCTATGCCCTTATCAGTCTCTTCACCTTCTGGAATATCCATTATACAAATATTTGGCTGTTTGATAGTTTCTAATATTTCCCCTACATTGTCCTTTTTTATTTTTATTTTTAATGCTTTTTGTGGTTCGGAGGCTTTGTCAGAGGCTTTGTTTTTCAAATTAGAGATTTTTTCTTGGATGGTATTCTTCATCTCTTAACGTTCTGTTTGATTCTTTTTTAGTGTATCTGTCTCTTTATGAAATTCCTCCTTCATGCCATGGAATGATTTCCTCATATCCTAAACTGATTTACCGTTTTCTATTGAAATTCACAGAGTTTTTTCACAATTAATATTCTGAATTCTTTTTCCAATATTTCTGTGAATTCTTTTACGTTGTCTTTTGTGTTGTTGGCGAGAAATTATTGTATTCCTTTGAGGAAGATTTTATTATTTCTTTGTTTTCTCATATTTCCTGTTTCTCTACACTGATTTCCAGGCATCTAGTGAAATACTAAGTACTTCCTAATTTTTGGAGTAGGATCTGTAGTGCCAGTGGGAGAAGAGCAGCCCCAGGTCCCAGGTATATCCCTGGTGAAGGACCTTGTCTTCTAGATTATAGCAGATCTTGTGTAGACTGTACTTGACAAGTTCAGTGAGGTTCAGTGGTACTGTGGTATGAGTTACATCAGTTGGATGCAATATCTCTTAACTTGGACTTGAAACTGGTGAGAGGAAGAGTGCAGGCTGGCCGTTCCTGCCAGACACCAGGTAGTGCTCAAATTTCACTGCCGCTTTTGGGGTAAGAGTGCTCTCTTTTGATTCTTCTGCTCTCTACTGACTGCAGAAAACCTGGTTGTAGATGGAGTTCCACCTTCTTGTTAGACTGCAGGAATTCTTGCCAGCTTGAGGTGGGGTAAGGTGTGAGGCCCAACTGTTTTGTTTTGTTTTTGTTTTTATTCCCCCCTGAAGCTACGCATTCTTGCCCTTTTCTCTGATGTGTGTTCCTTTCATACCAGTTTCCTTGTTCTTCTAGGGGTGAGGTTGCTGGAATCCACAGTGGTAGTCTGGGGTTCAGAGTTTCAGAGTACAGTTTCACTCATTTTTCTCCTTCAGAAGGGAAATTTGAAAGTGAAGAAGGTGCTCTCCAGAGTCACACTGGCTTAAGGCAGTTTGCTCCTCTCCATTTTTGCATGGATAAGCTATGCAATCTGGAAATTCCGGCTGACTTCCTCCTTCTCCCTGAAAGTCTGGCCTGATTCCTGTCTATGGAGGCTGCTCTTAGGCAGTGGCCATGTCTAAGTATCTATGGACCACAGAGGCCATAGAGATAGTCCTCCCCCTCAGTCAGTGGCTGTGTTCCACTGATGTACCCTGATCTCTGGTCCAAATGCAGCCAGGGAGCCCATGGGGCATGAAGTACTATTTAGCAGTGTGGGTGCCAGTGGTGGACAGCGCGGTCTGGGGCCAGCAGAAGGCATGTGGGATGGTCTGGGCCAGTGGAAGGCACATAGTGTAATCCAGAGCTGGCCAATTTTCTCTCTTCTAACGTTACTTTTTAAACTGTATAACTGGGGGTAGGGTATAGCAGGTGGTGTAGTGATTTCAACTCTGGACTCCCACATGGCTGACCTGGATTCATGTCCTGGGCCTCGAGGCTTGAATATTATGCAGGGTGTCTGTGTATGCCTGCCCAAAATCCCAAGAAGAGAATGGAGAAGTGACTGTAGTATGAAATATTCCCTTGTGTGTGTGTGTGTGTGTGTGTGTGTGTAGGGGTATTTTCTCATTTTCCTTTTCACTGCTTCTCTCTGTTTCTTTCCAGCAAGCGCATTCACTCTATGGGAAAAACAAATAAACAAAAAATGCAGGAGGCATAGTGGTAAGGTGCTGGACTATGTGGCCTATTGTGGTTTGAGTCCAGACCTCAGTGTCTTGAAAATCATACCACACATATGTGTATGCATGCCTAAAATCATAAGGGAAGATACAAGAGAAGGGTTGTGGCATGACAATCTCCCCTGGGGGGTAATTTCTCACTTTCCCTCTCTCTGTCTCTGTCTCTGTCTCTGTCTTTCTTTCTGACCAGCACATGCACAATATGACGAAAAATCCAAAATCTTAAAAAGAAAAAATAAAATGTATCCCTGGGCCAGTCCTATTTTGCCATGTCCCCTAGGGGGGGGTGACTTCTCACTTTGTCACTTTTTGTCTGTCTCTCCAGTGAGCACATGCACCTGTAGGATAAATCGCTCTCTTAGAAAAAAAATAAAGAAGAAAGTTGAATGCCGAATGGCTGACTGAGGTTCAAATTTCCATCTCAGTGGCTTGAAAATCACCCTGAGCACATGTGTATACATTTTCAAAATCTTTATGAGATGGAAAAATGAAGATAAAGAAAGGCAGCACGCTCCACTAAGGGTGCCTTCTCTCTTCTCTCTGTGTCATTTGCGAATTAACATTTTTAAAAAATATATTATTTAAGAATATGTTCTATACATATTTTTAGTTGTTTTTGTTATGAAAATATATTTGAATTTAAAAACTGATATTTAAATTTAAAATGAGTACTCTTCAAAATTATATTAAAAATGTCACAAAAAAATAGCAAATTTAAGTCACAAAAGCATTCATTTTTCAGCCCAAATATGACATCAAATAAAATATTGTAAACAATTTTTAGGAATATTTTTAGTTTTTCTAAAGTTATTTAATAATAATGTTAATCTTATTAGAAAAGGTAAAACAATAAGCTGTAAGTCCTTTTAAAAATAAATGTGAGGGTATGGCAGTTGGAGTGGTGGTTAAGGAGCTAGATTCAGATATGACTGACCATGGTCTGAGTCCTGGACCTGGCGGCTTGCTTTTTCACTTTCCCTCTCTCTCTCTGGTGAGCACATGAGCCCTAAAGCAAATTAAAACATGACAATAATAGTAATAAATAAAATAAAAATAATTCTTTAAAAATAAATGTGAAACATGTACTATGTTTAGATAAGTTTATATGCATGTACCTGAAGTTGTTATTTCCTGTACTGGTAATGTACATTCCTTGTTTTTGTTTTCACACAGTTTTCTCATGTCATGGTCCTCCTGCCTCAACATCCCAGAGGAGTCTGTAAGCATGAGCCACCACCCCCTGCTCTTGTTTAGACAAGGTCTGTCTGTGTTACGCAGGCTACACTTGAGTTTGTGATCTTCCTGCCTCAGACTCCCTAGTGCTGAAATTACAGGCACACACCACCAAACCCAGCCTTTAAATTTGACCAGCTATCAGCCCTAGCCCTCCCATGTGGTTCCAGCTTCCAGAGCACAGTAACTTAGCAGCATGCTTCACTGCAGCTAGGCCTGTTAATGTGAATTTCTAATAGCAACAGTTGGTTGATTACACACAGAAAAATAGCATATTTTCACTGACTCAACTTTTCCCAAGGTATAGATTGTCTTTTATAGATATATTTTTTCTCTTTCCTATAGAATAATTTGACATTATTGAACATAAACACACATTTCTTATTAAACTCTGGTGCTTCCTTTGCATAATAAAATAAAATGTTAAGATATATGCTTTAATCTCTTAACATTGATATACTTTATACTAAACATTTTACTCTAAAAATAGACATAAGATATTTCTGCAATGAAGTTTTTCAATATAAGAATTTTCATTGTCTTGATCTGGAGCAGAAAAGCAAGCAAAGGATTAGCACTTAAAAGAATGCAACATGCTATGTTACTGAAATAGATTCATTGTTATTATATATGATAATACTTCTAATATATATTACCAAAATGGTACACAGTACTGAAGACGAAGTTACAGTAGAGTGAGGATTATCCTCATCTTAACCTTGACTATATCACTTGACTGTAATATGCAGTAAGTGTTCTATTTATATTTTGTAATGAATGTGTTCTAGTCATTTCTGGTGAATGTAAAAAAAAAAAAAAAGAAAGAAAGAAAAGAAAAGAAAACTCTACATTATTTTCTGCCTTTCAGAAATTACTTTATCAACCACCAACACAGGTGGGTTATTTAAATGAAGTTTACGTTCCTGCATGTACTATCACAGAAACTTGATACCATTGTTACTTCCTACAATAACAAATGTGTGCATGTTGATGTTTTATTTCTTGGAATTTCTCAATCACATAGTCACATATGCGCCAAATGAACCTAAACTCATAATTTAATTATGCCACTAAACACTTACACCAGTATTTTACAATTTAAGAAGGTACTAAAGTCTTTTAAAAACAGTATTTTTTTAAACCCAAACTTTTGTTCACGTGGTCAGAATATGACCTGCCTTGACCTGCTCTGTCTTTTCATGACAAATAACTCAACAATTAATGACAGTTCACAGAAGCTGAATGTCAGGGATTCTGTATCTTGGTCTTTTGCATTTATTCCGTTTTTTATTTATTTATTTAGAGAGACTTTTGCTAACAGGTACATGCACTTGCCAGAGAGGCAGAGAGAAAATGAAAAATCACCCTCCCAGGGCATATGGCCACACCACAATCCCTTCTCTTCTATTTTCCTTTCGGGATTTTGGATACACACACATGCACCTAGCATAAGTGTCAAGCCTTCAAATTCAGGACTCAAACAGTGGTTGACCACGTGGAAGTCTAGTGCCTTAACTACTATATCTCCTGCTGGCCCCAATTCTCAGTTTTAACTTGGTCTTATCATCATTCTTCTTTCCTTCTTTTTTACTTTTTTAGAAATGAAACCAGTTTTGTTTTTAGAATTTTGTTACTTAACTCTATTTATTTATTTATTTATTTATTTATTTGGCGGGAGGTGGGAGGGGGAGAGAGAGAGAGAGAGAGAGAGAAAAAGCTGCCAACTCCAGGACTTGAATCACGGTTGGTCATGTGGGAGTCCAGTGCCCTTAACTACCACGCCACCTGCTGGCCCCTTCGCTCTCTTTTTAAAACTGGCACTTATAAAGTAGTAAATATTTTCTTGATATACTACTTCCAATTATACAGACACACAAGCACATACATATATACAATATTATAGTGTCTGAATATGATAGAAAGATAATGTGTATCAATAAAAAGTATATGTAAGATTGATACTACATAAGATTGACAGTAACTTTTGCAAGACCAAAATGATAAACTTATAGGTAAACATATTCTATTCACATCTGGATCTTTATCCAATATATCTGTTTGCCAAAATTAGCCGAGGAATGACATATTAATCTGTTATGAGTTATTTGGCTTATTTGGAAGAAATGCAAAAATGAAAGTATTTCTGCAAAAGCGATGACATACAAAAAGAGTAAATAGGCCAGCTGCCGTGGTTAATGAGGTGAGAGCACTGTTGTGCAATGATGGAGAGCGTGTGTGAAGGTCCCTGGTTCACACCTGAGATCTACTTCAGCATGATGGGTCTGCTGGCTGGCTCCCAGGGCTGAGAGGGAATTGTGGCATGAAGTTCCTTCTGAGGGTGCCTGTCTCTCTTTCTCTCTCTGCCTCTCCCTTTCTCCTAGAAATATATTTTAAAACGAGTCAGAAAGAGTGAAATATACTTTGAAGAAAGATGAGAGTGTGAATCAGTGCATTTTATAAAATATGAGTAGGTACTGCAGCTACTTTATTTTACTTTCATTGTCATTTAATTTTCATAGAGTAAACTAAAGTTGGCAATGATATTTATTCAGATTCTCTAAAGAAACTTTCTGAATACACTTTAGAGTTAAGCAATCAGGTGACATACTATCTATCTAGTGCCTGTGTCAGCTGCAGTTACAGTGTTTGTTGTGCAGACAAACACAGACAATTAAGCTCTCTGGGAGAGTACTGTTGGCACAAACCAGTAAAAGTTTTCTTTATGCTAAAAACATAAAACAACACACTAAATGGCAGCAGAGAAAAGGAAGTCATGACCACTGGCAATACACTGTCACTCACCTTTCTCTAGTGAATTAATTTGCCACAAACATTAGAAATAGCATCCTTCATGTCAGAAGCAAAACCATTAGAATACTATCCAGAGAATGGTTAGGAATTATATAGACAAGTAGGAACTCTAATGCCACAGTAATTATAATCTTTAGTAGGTCAATGACTCAAGAGTTATACTCATCTGTTGTTCTAACTGATGGACATCTGTCTGTTAAATCTGTAGCCCACTGTGGCTATTTAAAATGCCAACAGATGCAGAAGAATTCAAATAAACAAAACTCAGTTTAAATGACAGAAAAGTTTGGTTACCATTAGAAACAAAAACAGATAACAAACAAGTATATACAGATAAATAGATGATTATTATTTTACATTAATCACTGTATATAATTACAGCATGCAAAACGAGTGTTCCCAGCATGAATATACTATTTATTAATCTAGTCAAAGATGTTATCATACACATTATCAACAGATAATTTTGCATTTTTGTGTCCCTTAAATGTTTTGCTTCTTTCTTTTTCCCCTTGATTCTCTCCCTTTGGCTCCTTCTCATTTCCCACCCTCCTTCCATACTGCCTCTCGTACCCATAGTTGCTCTCCATGTTTTTGTTTACATTCCAACCTTTCAGTTTCTGCAATAGAGTGCAGATACTCAGTGTACATTAAGTGAAGGGGATATACAACGCTTCTCTTTCATAATCTGGTTTGCTTCTCTTAGCAGTAAATCTTCCATATCCATCCACTTTCTATCAAATGCCAAGGTCTCCTGGCTTTTGACTAGGAGACTAATTTTACTAAGCACCAATTAGTCAGCACAACTGCCTAATCACATTAACATACCTCCCTTCTGACATCCTCAGATACTTATCCATCAGATCACCCTAGCAGTTAAAAAGTTTTTTTTCTAATTATCAAGACCAGCAGATTGTGTAATAGTTACGTAGTTGCCCGAAGTTATAGTCCCAGATCCGTCGGCTTAAACTTCACGCCAGGTGTGTATATGTCCACCCAAAATTCCAGGAGGAGAATGGAGGAGGAGAAATGGAGGCATGGTCATTCCCCTGGGAGATGATTTCTTGCTTTCTGTCTCTCTCTCACTTGCAAAAGCATGTGCCCTATAGTAAAAATCTCTAAAAGAATAAAAAATTAAAAATTATTTTTCTTAAACGCTCCCCACTCTACCTGTGGGAGTTAAATTCAGTTTCTTTCCTTCTATGTAATAGTCATGAACCTTCTCACAATAATCTTCAAGTCTTCCTTGCCCGTTGAACTCTATTGGGAACATTTTTCTTTGACAGCAATTACTCTGCACTTCCCATACCTCATGCCTCTTAGTTGGTCCTCCCTTTGTCTTTTTTTTTTTTTCTGCTTTTATTGTTAGTTTTTGAGGTCTTAATTAGTTTTCAAAATTTACATCCAGTATATTGTGTATGATGAACCAAATAGAAATTTACATGGGAGTAGGAGAGAGCCTGTTCATATTTTTTTGCAGTGCTTACTGTCCAAAAATATAAAACAAGATAAACAGTACTGCCCTGGATAAATTTGTCATTCTCTATTAAATAGCCTTAATGAGAGAATGAACGAATGGGGAAAGATTTCCTTTCTTGCTTAGCAGTTAGCCGGGCATATCCTTGGCTTCCAATCCTCACTTACTCATTTTGAAAGGGAAAAGAATGAATTAGAACACCATGAAATTTGTCTTGCTGAAATATTTTTCAGTTACTTAAAAGACAAAGAAGACTATCATCTTCTCTCTCACCAGGCAACTTCCCTTCAAATGACTTTGTAATGTCACTGAATATAGAACTCTGCTGAGCAGGGAATAGAAACATTGATGTCTGTGGAAAAGTGCTAAAGAACTCCTTGACATTTTGTGTCTGGCACGGTAAGGAAGTTTATTTATGAGAAAAATATATTGTGATGCTCATCAGGCATCGAATGTTCTATTTTTTCCATACAAAAATGTGTAATTATGTGCAGCGGTATACATGTATATCTTAGTTGAAAAAAATAACACAGTGGGAAATGAGGGCAAGTACTGGAGAAGGGTTTTTTTTTTCCCCTTTCATTTGGAAGCTTCAAAAAAATAAAAGAATAAAGAGAAACAAAGTAACATTATGACTATAAATCTGGAAATTAGTGGTTGAAAGACAGTATTAAGATCTTTTATAGAAAGTTTTCTTGGTTACCTTAGTACTCAACTGGTTGAAAGACAGTATTAAGATCTTTTATATAAAGAGTTTTCTTGGTTACCTTAATACTCAACATGAAATCTGTTTTTAAATTCTCTGAATCTATCTAATGTATAATCCACATTGTCCTCCATGCAGGATCATTCTGACCCTACATCCTGCTCCCACCATCTCACAACTGGATTCTTGCAATAATTCTGTAAGTGATATTCTTGACTCCCCTCATTTTCTCTGAAATCATTCGTTACCTGATAGTAAAAGTCACCTGGGTGAAATGGCATCACGCTTTCAAGGAAAGAGAAAGCGTGTAACTCTCCTGCTCTGAACCTTCAAAACTGCCTCAAGAAATCTTAAGCACTCAGCTATACTCTAAATAACACTAAATGATCTTCTAGAATATCTGCTTCTCCAAAATTATTGCCTTTCATTTTTTGCCATTAGGCTCTCTTCTTAGGCCAATTTGGACCTACTGTTATTTCTCAGAAGCAACTGCCTGTGATGTCCCTTCCAAAGGTCTCCACATGATTCACTCTCTTGCTTCATTTAGACATCCAGCCAAATATCTTCATTGTAGAAGATTCTAAATCTCATCTTTAAATGAATCATCCTTCTCCCCAAGTCTCCTTACATGATTCACTCTCTTGCTTCATTTAGACATCCAGCCAAATATCTTCATTGTAGAAGATTCTAAATCTCTTTAAATGAATCATCCTTCTCCCCGAGTCTCCTTTAAATATGTGAACATCCTTCAGTGTTCGTATAGCCCATTTTACACCTCAAATAGCAGTATCAGAACAATAATCAAAATTCATTATGTTCTAGATACATACTCTAAAATAGTTGCTTCTGAGAAGAAAACTAAGAATTACAGTGAGAATCATATAACTAAGAATTTCTTACACCAAGACTAAAAGTCACAATGTCCTCCATAGAAAAAGAGGTTGAGAGGCCAGCAGATGGCATAGTGGTTGAGTTGCTGGACATCCTAATGACCAACTATGATTCAAGTCCCGGACCCAGTGACTTCAAATTCATGCCGGGCATAAGTACATGTGAACCCAAGATCCTGGGATGAGAATAGAGGACAAGGGATTGTGCCATGGTCAGTCTCCTGTGAGCTGATTTCTCACTTTATGACTCTCTGTCTCTCTAGCAAGCATACATACCCACTTTATGACTCTCTGGCTCCCTGGCAAGCATACATACCCTATAGTAAAAAATCTCTTCAAAAAACAAAAAAAAAAGAAAGAAAATAAAAAGAAGTTGATAAGGACCTTTTCCATATCTGTGAACAACTCATATCACACAAGTTGTTCTACTTGCTCACTCCTTTTCTACTATTCTGATATTCATGCCTGTCTCAAACATAAACAGATTAGTTCTCATTTCAGAGTCCTTTTATTATTATTTTCTGCATCGCTCATTTCTTCATTATATTCAGAGTTAGCCTCCGTTTGTGCTGAGGCCTTCCTTAGTTACAATACTAACATATCATTTCACAACACCATTGCCTTATTTTGCTTGTTAATTTGTTGTTATATTATTCATTGATTCCTGGGTATTTAATTTAATTTAATTTATTTAATTACTTTTAATTTGACAGAGAGGGACAGAGTTAGAGAGAGAGAGAGAGACAGTGAGAAAACAAGCTGCCAGGTCTGGGATGTAACCACAGTCAGTCACGTCGAAGTCCAGCACCCTTAGTCACCACGCCACCTGCTGGCCCCTACTAACTCTATTTTTTTAAAGGCTGATAGAAACATCCATTTCTTTGACATAATTCTCAAGTGAAGAAGTGCATATTATTTTAACATGCCAAAAAGAGGAAACCTAACTTGGTTCTTCTCTTAGGCAATTGAATATTCTGTAATATTTTACTTAAAAAACAATAGCTCACATATATCTTCAATTAAAAAGAGGAAACCTAACTTGGTTCTTCTCTTGGGCAATTGATTTTTCTGTTATATTTTACTTAAAAAACAATAGCTAACATATATCTTCAATCAAAAAAACAATCCCCATGTCTTATGATCAGTAAACTTTAAGAATCTGCCTATAGTGAAGCACAGAAATATTAGACTTCCTGAAGGAGTTGGGAGAACATAAAATCTTTTAAATAATAATGATTCCCCAAAATTTGAGTTATCATAAATATCGGCCCACAGATCAAAGAATCTTGATCAATTCCATGAAGAATGAACACAGACAGTTTCAGCAAATAGGAATCATAATGGAATTCTGATAAATAAGTAATGAAGTAACACTTTGAAAATCACCCAAAGAAAATAGCATCTAATATGCATATAATTTTCTCAGAAAATATGTTATTTTATTCCACTTAAAAAAATATTGTCAGAAAGGGTGCTTACTCCCCAGTGAAAGACAGAGAGATAGAGAAGGAGAGAGAGAGCATCCCCATGGGACATGATTGTGCTGCAATCCCCTCTCCTCCATCTCTCCCTTCTTTGGAAATTTTGGGCTTGCACCCATGTGCACTCATTATGTTTCTCAATTCAATTCCAGGACTCAGATTGTGTGATCAGCCATGTGTGATCCAGTCACCTTAACTACCTGGCCACAGGCTGGCCCCTATTCCACCTTTTAAATCTCAATCTTTCGTAATAATTCGTAACTGGAAAAGAGGTGGGGAAGAGGACACAGGGCATTACAGTTTATAATGTACCCTGCTATGCTTAGGAACCCCTAAAAAAGAAAGGAGATGACGTAAACTGCCAATGACTCGCTCACTTCTCTTTTGATGCCCGCTGTGTATATACAGCAAACATTAACATTTTGTATATAATGATATCAAGGTGAATGGGTTAGTTGTAGCATTATTTGTATGATATATATATATATAAATGGCATTTTATTTTTTCCCAGAAGACAGACAATTCTTCAGTCCTTAAAGACTCGGCTCCTTACATGGGCTTTGGTCTTTGGTGGAGCGCGAGGGGTAGCACCTGCAGGTCTAAATAGGGGTGGGGGTGTTCGGTCCTTCCGAGTTTCCTGAGATCGTTTCCTGACTTCCTTGCTGTGAATGGCGCAACTCACACGGTAATGTAGCTTCACTACAGCTGGGGGAGCACATAGGCATCCAAGACACTTGCTTCAGAGATGGCCCTGACAGCTGCAGCCTCTACTATGTTTTGGATGACGAGCTTCTTGTCCTTGGGCACATATTGGGCGCAGTTCGTGTAGCGAGTAAGCTGCCCTTGGCCATGGCCCTTTTTGGCATGGCCATTGTTTCTTCTTTTCTTCCTCATCTTGGAAGCGAGGCTGCCAGACTGTATGTTTTTGTTTCAATACCAGGTTTATTTGAGAAAGAGGCATTCACCTGGATACTAAGGCCCACTGTTTACAGTAGCTTAATGAAGAACTTCAGATTACTGAAGAGAGAAAAGCATACTGTGTGCTCTTAAATACACAGAGCTTTTACATTTATACCCAAAGTCTATCTCACCACCGCACGTACTATATTTGCAGATGTTTGTACAGTCAGTGAACAAAACAACTACCTTTGGGTTTAAAAATAACTTCTTTTGCATTAAAAGTAAAAACCTTAAGTTTTGACACTTTTAAGATTCTTTAGTAGGACTCAAATGTCCTCAGGATAAGGTTCAAGTTCAATTTTTGTTTCTACAAGGACTTTTTGTCTGTTCCAGCTTTGTCCCTGATATTTTGTTCTTGATCTTTCCGTGTAGGTGAAACTATTTTTTTTCCTTTGACTTTCTTTTCCTTTTTCAGAATGTCATTCACATTAAATTAGAAGATAAATCCATCTGGAGCATTCCTTATATCTCTCAATATTTGTCTCACTTTATCTTAACTGCTTATTAAAACTTTTTACTTTCTCTCAGAGTTGGATTTATTGCAAAGCAAACGATACCTTAGTGTCCAGGCCCCACACTGAATGGGTCCAGCTCCATTGAGTACTTCCTGAGTACTCATGAATCAGAAAGCAGTTAGAATTAGTCTCTGCACACAAAATCTGAAGTATCTTGAATTCTTGTAGCTAAAATACAACTAGTCTTGATCAGTTTTACATAACTTAGCAACAATTCTATCGTGAATCTGATCTTATCAATGAGTTCAGAAGTAAAAAACATCAATGAATGATAATAATATAAATAATCTCTATAGAAGAAAGATTAAACTGTATCATGCATTTTAATTTTTAGATCTCTTTAAGAGTGAGTTCACTGTTTAAAAGTCAACAAGAATCAAATTATTCTTGTAGATCAATTTTCACACTAGAAAATCCTCCTATTTCAGGCACTATGAAATAAATATGGAGGAAGGAAGAATAACCATTCCATTCCACTATAAATTACAGACATAATGCTGAATTATGGTTATCTGCTCCTCTGTGATCAAAACTCCAATGACTTCCCTAGAAAGAACCACAAATTCTTTAAGCAAATAATTGGGGATGTTTATGTTTACACCAGACTCAATATTTTGTATAGATGAGGCAGATTCATTTGGTATGTCTGTTGCAATATAAAATCAGCTTATTGTTCTGTAACTAGAAAGTGGGAAAGTACTTAATGGAAAATAATTGAAAAGAAAATATTGGAATTAAGGCCAGCATGTGGCACAGTGATTAGAGGTGCTGGACGTCCACAGGGCTAACGGTGGTTCAAATTCCAGACTTGGCAGCTTGCTTTCTCACTTTCCTTATTTCTCTTTCTTGCTCTATCCTTCTCTGGTCAAATTTTAAAAAATGAATAAATAAATAATAAATTTAAGTGAAATAATTATTTAAAAAAAGAAAATATGAGAATTATGATGAATTCTTTTCAAGTCACAAATTTAAGTGCCACTGACTCCAGTCACATCAGGTAAATACCACCCTCTTGACTTGTGCACATGAATATCTTAGGTTGCTGATACCAGTTTAGCTTAATGTAAGATTACTTCTGTTTTTGTCTCCTCAGTTCTCACAATTACCATCACTTTAGAGAGGTTTGCAATAAATCAAATAAGGACGAGATTTTTGAACTAGGGCCATTGGGAGAAATGAAAAAAATGAGAAAGTTAATAAGGAAAAGTGAAGTCATACACCTTAAAAACTTGCCTCTTTTTCACTGAGAACAGATCGTACATTCCCCTTCTGCATAATAAGATCTGTCAGGTCTAATATTATTTGTAGTTGCTGATCAATGAAGATTTTATGAAGTAGATTAACACTTAAAAGAACTTGAGTATATTTTAATATTTATTTAGATCTCAGCTTTTACATGTGTAAAATAATGGAGATGAGTCAGTTCATAACTAAGATTAAATATATTAATATAATTTTGACACAATATTATAAAATACAGCATGTTTAAATTTTACAATATGTCATGGTTGAAATTAATTAATTATAAAGTGTATAGATTATACATACAAAAATATGATTTTTACATTTTTACATGTGTGTGTGTGTGTGTTTTCATTTCTATCTGGCAGCCACAAATTTTATTGAGCAAATTCCCAAGATTTCTTATTTTTAAATAATTATTTTATGTATCCATTTATTTATTTATTTTAATTTGACCAGAGAGGGAAAGTGTGAGAGAGAGAGAGAGAAAGAGAGAAAGAAAGACACCAGGTCTGGGATACAATCAAGGGTCAGTCTTTTGGGATTCTAGCATCCTTAACCACCACACCACCTGCTGGCCCCAATTCTCAAGTTTTTAATAATAAAAACATAAATCTTAAAAATAAAAAAGTGTTCATGCATGACTTTGGATTTATGGCAGGCTCATCCCTCTGGGTCTCTCATAGTGTGCTATGCCACTGCAGAGTGGTTCCGAAGTATGGCTTGCCATCTACCTATGGGCTGCTGGCACTAAAACTGGTTACACAGTAGAAAAATATCTAAAAAAATCTTTGGATAGATATATAGGCTTTTAATATGAGTTTAAATAAAAATTTTTTTGGAGAGGTTTTTGCTATAGGGTATGTGCGCTCGCCAGAAAGACAGAGAAAGTCAGAGAGATAGAAAGAGAGAAATCACCTCCCAGGGGGGATGGCCACGCCACAATCCCTTCTCCTCCACAATCTCTTCTCGGCGTCTTGGGCACGCATGCACACGCACCTGGTGTGAGTTTAAGCCACCGGGTCGAGTCAGGGACTTGAACTGTGGTTGACTACATGGGAGTTTAGTGACATAGCCATTATGCTAATTGCTGGTCCCAAAAGATTTTTTAATATGTTAAAATTACAACTATAAACATTAACCTCTAAGACTAAAAATAGAATAACATTCAAGTTATCACAAGTCTATAGCAGTTTAAGAAGAAGAATAGAGTAACAAACACTCAAAGATTATACTTTTTCAAGGTTCATGATGTTTAAGTGGCTGGAACATTACAAAATAAAAAAACACTTGCAATATGTTGACAATATGTTTTATTCGAGATTAATCATAGTTTGAAACAGACCAAATACACCCATTTATTAAAGAAGTTCTAAAATCAAAACTTTTAATAACTGACAACTGGTGTCCAGAGTCACCTCCTTCCCTGAGAGGGATGATCTCCCCTTCTCACTAAATCACACCATATTATGTGACAAGGCATATGATGTGTTAGTGGCCTCATGCTGACTGAGCAGCTGTACAGAATGAATTAAAACCAAATTGTGAAAACATCTAGAACTGCAAACTATTCAGAATTTTTAATGAAAATAGAATGATGGTTGTGTCCATTATGCAACTAATCAAGTGAAGTAATGATTTGAGTGTAAAATTTGTGTGTCATTTTAGAATGATAAATTGTTTTCATTATAAACATGTTGCATTAGATTTCTATTTAGTGGATAGAAAAAAAACATTTTAAGTACATAAGTAAATAACATGGTAACATGTAGAAAAATATAAAGGAGAATATTTATAGGGTGTGATATTGACTTAGTAAAAGTTAAGCTCTAGGGTTCAAAGATTGTTATAAAAGGAAATCAACAAATATCAAAAGGCATCAGTGGTATTAATTCCAAATAGTAAAAAAGCATATGGTTACTGGTATCTGTGAGAATTATCAATTTATAACTTTTGTGCTCTGAATGTACCCTTCAAATTATACACTGTGATAAGGGACCTAATTCCTGTAAAAGTTTCTTCGGGGTGCACACAACTCTTGTGTGGAATTATTTTTGTTACAGGGCATGTGTGCTCACTGGAGAGACAGAGAGAGTCAAAGAGACAGAAAGGCAGAAATAACCCCCCAGGGGGGATGGCCATGCCACAGTCCATTCTTCTCCAATCTCCTCTTGGGATCTTGGACATGCACACACATGCACCCTGCTAAGTTTTAAGTGTTGGGTCCTGGACTCGAACTGTGGTTGACTACTTGGAAATCTGGTGACATAACCGTTATACCATCTGCTGGTGAGCACAGCTTAAGCTCTCTCAGTAGAGATCACTGCAGGTATATCGTGGAAAAAAAGGAGTTCTGTTGTATTTATAGAGGTTGGAATTTGACATGCAGCTTGGGTATAAGGACTGGCCCCAGGAAAACATCTAGAAGTGTTATCTCTGACACCTTGCAGCCCCAGCTTGGAATGGTGCAGCAGCTATCTTCACGACACTGTGTGCTGCAATGGCCTCCATACACTTCACATTCTTCTGATGACCTGCCCCAAGGCCCCAGGGCTTTATCTCCAAAAGCCCTCCTAATGGGCAGCCCTGTCAAGGCTAGGGACCCTAGCCACAGAGAAATCATGATTCCAGGCCTTCTGCTTACATTAGCTATCCGTCTTCTGTGTTCCCCTGTTTCTGGCTACTAGTGGTGACTCACATGTGGTCTTCCTGTTCTCTAGCTTTTATTCTCTAAATGTTTGCTTCCTGTTTTTCCCACAATTGTAGGTGAGCTCTGGAACAGGCAAACCAGTGAATTTCTCTCTGATCCAATGGCCTACAACTATATATTATCTATAGAGATCTGAACCTCAGATTTGGGACTTGTCCACTATGACCTTCCCTCAATAGTTTTTTTTCAGATCTAATATACCAGATAAAAATTTCTTAGATCTGGGCCAGTCCCAGGGCCTAGTGGTTAAGGGAACTAGATCTCACCTGGCTAACCACCTGGTTTGAATTCTGGACCCTAAGGACTGGAAAACATGTTGGGCACATTTGCATGCATGGGTCAAATCCTGAAAGGTTAGAGAAATGGAGAAGGAATGGTGGTGTGACAGCTTATTGGAATGGAATGTTTTCTTCCTTTCCCTCTTTATCTGTCTCTATGTCTTTCTCGGGTAAGCACACATGCTCTCTGGCAAATTACAAAAAAATAAAGTTTTTTTAATCCTTATAATTACATGAATTATAGTTTAATTATTCTTTATATTAAAACTCCCCTGTTTATATTACTGTGTTTTGTGTCTCTTTATTAGATTCACACTGATAGAAAAAGTGGTCCCAGAAGTTTAAGTCTCTATAAAGGGGATTTGAAGGTTGCTTTTACTCTTGAGCTTGAGCTCAGTTCTGAGCATCTTGTGGATGAGAAACGGCAAGTTAGTGACCTCAGACATGCAGTGGAATCTCAAACTGTCCCATTTGGTTGATTATGATGAAGTATCAACTGATACATGCACCTTGGGAGCTCGTGGCTTTTTGCACCTGACTATCGTGGTAATAATTATGATGTAAGTTTTTGAGGAACTTTCATATGATTTTCCATAATGGCTAATGACAAATGATAGACCTAGGTATGCTAATTACTCTGACTTAATCATTGCACGTTGTATTTTTATACTGAAAAATCATAGTGAACTCTGACAAACATGCAACTGTTATACGTAAATAAACATTTTTTTTAATTAGAAAGAAAAGTGATTTAAAAAAAAAAAAACACAATAAAGGATAGATTCTTTTGAATGGAAGTAGTGGCCCTCTGTTTTCTGAGATGAGTCATTCGTATTTTAAAACACAATGATAGCATCACTGGTGGAACATACCTGGGAAGTCCATGCTCATTTCACTCAAGACCTACTAAAGCACTTTCTGTTACCACTAGGTCCAATGTGAATGTGCTTTAGGAAATTAGATATACACTATAACTCAGAAGGAGATAACTTACAGATCAAAACAATTGCAAGGATTTCCTTATACATATTGGCAGAAAACTCAACTTGTGTGGTGGATGGAAACTAAAGGTGTTTGACCAAAGAAGGTGAGTGGTAATGGTAGCTAATTGCCGTGAATGCACTTCCTAGAAGTTTCAGATTTAATATCATGCTCATTACTTTTGAAACTTTGCTTCCAGAGGCCAGCAGATGGTTACGTTGCTGGACTTCCCCATGGCTGATTGCGATTTGAGTCTAGGACCCCTTGACTTGAAACTGATGGCAGGCTCATGCGTGCCCAAGATCCCAGTAAGAGAATAGAGGAGAAATGGGTAATTTCTCACTTTCTCTAGCACTGTCTCTGTCTCTCTTTCTCTTTGGTGAGCACATGTGCCCAATGACAAAAACCCCTTAAAACAAAACAAACAAAACAAAACAAAACTTTGTTTCCAAATTATTGTCTGTTTTATTCTCCTCTGAAAATTCAGTTGCATTGATAAAAACTGTTTTACGTCTTGTGTAATTTTTTTCTGTTTTACTCTATACTTCAGTTAGAATATTTTTATTGACTTTCTCTAGTTCACTAACCTGTTCCATATTTTCAGATTTGTAATAATTTGTTATTAAATATTCCTGTTCAGCTAATAATTGCAATTAGTTCATCTCAACTAGATTTCTTATTTGATTATGTTTTTTTCAATTTAGATTGATTTTGTAGTGTAATTCTCCATCATATATCTATCTAATTTTTGACACATGAGTCATTTTGTACTTAAAGTCATTTGCTAATAATTCCAATAACTTTGCTATCTCTTGGTCTATTTTCATTATTTTTTTCTCTTCTTCTTTATATGTATATATACTTTCTTTGCCATAGAGTGCATATATTCACCAGGGAGAGAAAGAGGATGAAAAAGTGAGAAAGCACCCCCTAGGTAGATGGTCACACCACAATCCTTTTCCTCCATTTTCCATTTGGGATTCAGGGCATGCAAACACATGTGCCCAGAATGTTTTCAAGCATGCAGTCAGCCAAGTGGGATCTAGCCACTTTAACCACCACATCACTTTACTGGCCCATCCTTTATATTTTGACACTGGACATTGAAAAATTTAAAAAGCTCTGTCTGATGTCTTTTTTTCAGAATAGTCTGGCCATGTTTGTTTGGAAACGTATATAGTAATGGCATGTTGCATATGAGATTGTATTATGGTGATCTGTTTTCTAACATTCATTTTCATAGGATTTATATCCATTTTTGGGACATAATCATCCAAAGATCACAACTGAAAGCATGGACCATTTCTACTTCGTGTTATATGAATTCCAATCTTTACCTTCTCCGTATGATGAGAATATCTCTTGCACTTCATTTTAAAGCACATTGACAAATGAAAGGCTAACTTCCTGAGCCCCCCTCGTCGCTGACATCTTAGTATATTCATATGTGTGTTTTCACTCCAATGCCATATTTTTCTTCAGTATTGCAAAATTGTAAAAATAAAATCTGCTGTCTTTTCTCCTTTTTGTCAAACTTTCAGTTTCTTAGACTTTCCTCTATTTCATTAAGTGGCAACTGCCCTCAGGGGGAAAATATTTTGATGATTGTTGATTCATCTCTCTATAGTTCATTTCATTCTGGATCCTGTCTTCACATTAATATATTTTCTTCAATTCCTTAAAAAAAAAAAAAAAAAACGAAAAAAGAAAATTGAGTTTTGTTGTTGTTCTGGGTTGGAGTTTTCACTTGTCATAGCTATTTCATCATAGATAAAAAGCAGTGGACCAACACATGGTATAA